AGGGGCGGGGTTGGGGGGGGGGAGGAAGAAAACCGGAGAACCTGGAGAATGCCAATCAAAATGAGGACGAGGCATTCTCGAACTATTCTAACTTGTGATGCGTGCTGCAAGCCCAGATAATGTGAATCTCCAGAAGCAATAGGAGAATGCACTACCACTACACCACCCTTGATTCAATTATTACAGGATTCTGATTACATGTTATTATTCCAATAGTGCTGTATTGGATGGCGTTGATCTGGACATTGAGATCGGTAGTTACAAGTATTATCCAGACTTCGTGAAGGAGTTACGACGCCTGATGAGAACAGACCCGAGCAGAAAATATCTGGTCACAGCTGCCCCACAGTGCCCTTATCCTGACGCCTGGATGGGACCTGTCAACCCTGGAACTGCATTCAAAGGTATTCAGTGCCTCGTTAATAAAATAATGCATTTTCCACTCCTGAATGGACGCCGTAATGCCTAACAGCTTTTGCAACCCAATTGATAAGGCAGCCGACACATTGGATTAGAATTTAGAAGTTGATTTTTGTGGAAAGAGGAAAAACCGGAGAATCCTGAACGAAAACCCTCGAAGCACAGGAGAGAACTAAAAAACAACTCTACTCAAATGCGACACCAATCCCGAAAGGGCTCGAACCCGGTTTGTATTGGTGAGATGCGGCGCATTAGCAGCGAATGCCATCAATGCTTCCCTAATTCACAGAGTAATCGAGCTAGTACGTAAAACGTATTGCCTTAGCTTTTTATGGACGTGGATCAATCGTGGCGTAGTCGTAGTGCATTCTCCTTTGGAGACTTAGGTTCGATTCCTCGACTAGTATTCTACGTGCGTAGAGTTTGTTGGGTCTCTACGTTAATGGAAGGGCTTTTTCCTGGGTTTTACACTTTTTGCTCCGCAAATGCCAACGTGCATGGGGTTCCCTGACTTAGATTAGCCAAGTAATTGTTTCACGTTTCGATTATAAACTTGAAGATTTTTTGTTGCTTGGGATTAATTTGAGTATAGATTTCATCAACCTTTTTCTCACACACAATATAACCACATAACATAGCGTCTATTGTGGTTTGTTCTAGAGGTTGGACATGAATTCGACTATCTCTTCATCCAGTTTTACAACAATTACTGTTACCCTGGCAGCCAGTATTACGTGTCTGTGATGGATCAGTGGTTAAAGTGGACAAACAGTATCAATAATGGGCCACTCATTCTACTGGGGTTACCATCTGGTGTGGGAGGGGCAGGAAAGCCTGAGTACTACTTCCCACCCGATCAGTTGGCTGTGGCATACAAGGTAAAACAACCTTCATATGGTAACTATAGGATACCTTGGGAAAACCCATTCCCCCAATGATTAAGGGACAGCTTTTTGATGACGTAATTTCCGGTATTATTTGTAAAAATTAGGCTGCGTATGGCAGAGGGGGGTGGGTGGGCAGGTGAAAATTTGAAATGTCCAGAAT